GAACAAGCGGAAAGTATTATATAGACTGGTCGAAAAAATTATATTTGATCTGAGGAAGGAACGGATATATGTCGCTTACCTGGGCCAAGAAAATAGAATTAAAGGGACAGTAAAAGAGCAAACGGCGGAAATGTTAGCAAAACCATATTTTCCATCATCAACGTTGTCTGGATAGAGGAGAAGATGTGATGTGCTCTAAACGCAACGCACCCTGGAAATAATCCTGATGAAACGAAAAAAAGGGACATTAGTAGTAAACGAGATCCGAAGGCATCCACAAGGCGAAACGACATGACAAAAGAGAAAGTAAACTAAGTAATTAAATATAATCAACTATTACACAAACAATCATACACGAAGAGATTGACGCAACGTGTTCACCAGTTTAAATTGACAAAATAAACAATCTATACCTATAGAAGTACCGGTAAATGAGTCGAATTTATTTCCTGTATATCAGAAGGAAAAGTGTCGATTTATTTACATTTATTCCCGTTATATATTGATTGTAATAGTGTTCCAAACGATACATGATAAAAAAAATTAAGAACTAATACGTAGATAAACAAAATAATCGATATTCGAAGGTTAGTGAAATTTTTTTCTATTATTGAAACTTGTTAATCGAAATAATGAGTTGTCTTTCATGAGTAACAGTTTGAACATTTTGAAATTTGCTCAGTGTTATGGGAAAGTTGGTTTACAGAAAGTAGTAAGGGAAATGCCCCCAACCCCAAAGAAAAACTGTAAATCATATGCTAGACTGATATCTACATTTAGAGAGTGCTTAGCTGCTTGTATGTCATAGTGGCACGCAATTGGTTTTGTAGAATGCTGTGCATTTTAAAAGCATCTATTTTTCATTTGTCGTTCTTATGGTTAATGTATGCCTATAAAACATATTGAGAAATCGCTCGTTGTTTTACACAAAAACCCCCCAACAAGATGCTAAAAGTTCAGGAGTCCAGAGTGGTCAATTCCCGTGCCGAGGTATTCGCGAAAGGAATTTCTTTAAGTAAATGAATGCGTAACGTGAATACGGTAAACCAATAAACAAGTGTGAAAGTTTTCTCAAAGCAAGTATGTAAACAACTTACTAAGAACTGGACGTTTTGCATTTTAACATTTATTTTTTATCAAGAAGTTAATTTTACTTGCTCACTCCTTAGTCTAGTATACGGAAGTTCCTGTTGTCATTTGAATATTTTTCTGTAATCAAGTTTCAACAGATTTTAGTTCTTAGGATTATCTATATCGAGGTGATAAAAATAAAACAAGGCAACTTAAAAGAATGTAGAAGTACATTTAGCTGTCGACACTTTTTCTTGTTTTCTTACGTTTTAAAGAAAGCATCTCTGCTTAATAGCGTTTAGAATACCCTAAACACAGCTATTGAAATTAGAGTGATACATTTTTTAAGGAATCTTATAATCGCACCGCACCCGCAAAATTTGCATTATTGTTTCCGATTTATTAATGCAAAATGGTAGTGAAATTTATGCATAAGAGATACACGCACATGCCTAAAATATCTTAATCAACAATAATACTAAGTAACTAAATCTGAGCGAATGCTTTTTGTGTTAACATTTCATAGATGGTTAACGTGTCGAGCCCACTAAATGAGGATCTGAAAGGATATGATCTTTTTCCTGAGCGAAAAGGCAAAGTTGAAAAGGAGTCATTGGCTAAACGAATTATTGTCGGAGATGGAGGTCGTGACACACTGACGCGTTTAAAGTAAGCTATTAAAGAATATGTTTTGTACCTTCAGTGGATCATTTAAATTTAACGCCGTGCAATTTCTGAACTGTAACCAGCATCGCAGATCCCAAAAAACAATTTGCGAAATTTGTTTGATATATATAATAAAACGGGTATTTTTGCTAAAATTGTAAGTGTTTATACGACATATGTGGCTCATATAGTAAAATCCAATTCGGTATACCTTTACATACATTTTTTCAGATGCGAAAATGATGTGGCGACTTGTATTCGAAACGCACCGATTGTCAAATTGATGCTAGCTGCGCTTAAATCGTCAGGTTGTGAGGTAGATCCTAAAAGACATATTAGCTGCGAGCCATGCAACTCTGCTGTCACCGGCGGTTACGATGCAGAAGCGAATCAGGTAAGTACGATTTCAGTCCTTCAGGAGTCTGCTTTCCATCGGCCAATAATTCTTCTAGTGTGGGATAATGGTAAGTAAGTTATATAGTAAACGTTCATGCCTCAGTATTGCGATATTTTGCTATACTAAAATTGTGAACTATATCTCTAACTCAGAAGTGTACAGTAAAAGATAGTGTCGCAATAAATGCATACAATATTAGCCCATTGATTATAAATAAAACAAGCTCAAAGAGCACTCTCTTCAGAAGCCAGAACTTAATGAAACGATTTGTCCAAAAAATGTCCACTACTATTATTATACCTAATTTTGACTTTTCATTTACGCTTTTTCCTTTATAGTAATTTCTTCGCATTCATATGATTAATGTACAGTATTTTATTAGTACCCACTCACTATTTGCAAGGAGGATTTCCATGGCGTATATGCCATATTATTCATATTTGCATTGTCTACAGCCTGGTATCTATGTACTGTAGATGCATTGCTTACATTGCATTTAAGATCAATTCTCGATTGAAACAAATTGACTATACTGGAATGTAGTAATTTTTCTATTGTTCACTTTATTTATGAGACAGGAAAAAGCCACTAGTAAATTTTCATTCAATGTAAAGACCAGGCAGCTAAGTTCTTAGATCGCAAGGGACAACCTCGAAATATGTATAGATAAATAATAGCATAGGTTAGCAATATTTAGCTAATGTTGGCATGTCGATGTTTCAACTTTTTATTAGCCTTTATTTAAATTGATCTGCAACCAGTAGGCATACGTTTTTGACACTTGGGTTTTACGTTAAGAGGCTTTCGGATCATTTGTGAAAAATAAGGGTCGGAGAATGTAAAATAAAATGTGCATATTATTTGCCAAAGTAAAATAAAATCTAAAACGCTGGCTTCAGATACGGTTAGGTTGTTGTGAAGAATCCTACCTTATTTGAATTCGCTTTTAGAGTAAGGACAACATAATTGTTTTTATTTGTTTACCTTGTTTGAAATTCGATATATGAGAATTATTGTTATTTGCACTATATATTGGTAAACATTATGTGGTTGCATAATTCTAATCTCGTATCTGCGATTATCGAAATTGTGAAGTTGCACAAGATAACGACTGCGAATAAGTGGAGTAAACGGACAAGAAATTAACTCGATTCGACTGTTACAAGAAATATTCTTTTCCCCTATAGATTCCTCCTAGGGGAATCTTCTCAGACATTGAGATAAATTAAACATTAAGTGCTTTATGGATTTACCTATATACTTCTGACAGGTAGTAATCTGTCAGAATAACGTTAGTGGAAGCGGGTTGGTTCAAGGTGTTCTTGCGCATGAACTACTTCACATGTTCGACAAATGCAGGACAAAAATGGACTACAACAACAACGAGCACGTTGCTTGCACTGAGGTTAGAATTAAAGAATTTCAAGTCGATCAGAACATTAAAAGATATATAACGAAAAATTTTGCGTTTTAAAATCTGTTGCCCCATTTAAATTTATCGTGCTCACATATCGTGGTTTTTAGCGTCAATCCTCTAGCTGATAACAATGTAGTGTTTCTTATAAAGCTGTAGAAGCATATCGAACAGAAAGGAAAAGTCTAAATCGTCCAATTACATGATTGCAAATGAAGAGTAAATAAAAAAAAGATATATCTTTTTTATATATATATATATATATATATATTTAAACCTATCTAGAAAAGCTGACAACGACATATGATTATATATTAGAAAGGCACAAATAACTTGAAACAAAGGCAAAATTTAAGTAAGTTTAGAAAAACTGTGAATTTAAGATTCCGATAATTTAATTTACAGCAGCTAATAACAATTTAATTTTTATTCAAAACTTCACTTTACTAGAATAGTTCACTTTTTATTTGGTATCTCATCAGGTGTTAAGGAAAGAATGGAGATCTATCAGTATGCAAATACGGCATATGAAACACAAAAAAGAATTTGTTCACATGACTATATACTTTTCTAATCTGAAACTATTTATTATATAATAAAACAGACATTTGTGCTTTCACGAAGGATGTTCTCAGTAATCGAAATAATGATAGTCATTTGCTTAACTTTGCTTGCGCAAGTTATGCGAAAGTGGTTTCACGTTGCCTGGAGACTAGAATGAGTGCGTATCGATCAGCGTCTGTACTAATGTTTGTGCAAAATTTCAGATCCGAGCGGCGAATTTATTGCATTGTTCGTTCTTGAGCGCCTTTGTGCAGGGAGTTGCAAGCCCGTTCAGCTTTAGTAAAAGCCATGAAAATTGCGTTCGGTACAAGGCTATCCAATCTCTTGTCGCAGCAAAAAAACTTTCTGTATTCGAAGCTGCATACAATGTAGACAAGTAGGTTTGAGTACTAAACTATACATCTAAATTGGAGCATATATACACATATACATTCTATTAGATCCTATTAGATTAACTGATACCTATTAGAGGCAGGCCGGTTTGTAGCTAGGTATCCGGTCTCTAAAGATACTTCTTTGCAACCGGTAGCACCGGATCAACGTGACGCCGACACTGAAGCGAAAAATAAAAACGGCGGTTAACCGGGAAGGAGTGTCAGCAGATCAAGACGGCGTAGGGTGGTGCATCAAATTGGGGAAAGCTTTGCCAGGCTACTCCTTAACGTCATTTCTGAAGTAGGGGCGAAAATTAGCTGTTATACAATTCTTCAGCGCTGAACGAAACCTTACCAAAATCAAAAAAACTTCTTTTTGCTTGAAATTGGCGATTTACGTTATTGCCAGTTTGCACAAAGTCTAATAAATCGGCCAATTTATGACACAGTTTCGACACAAAAGGTTCGAAAAAACTAATTTCAATCAGAAAGCTATTTTTTTTTCATTTAAATTTGTGATACAGACTAGACGGCCGTTTTAGAAAAAGAAGCATCAGTTCTTGATTGGCTAGTCTATATAAGCTCCAAAGGTTAATCTTTTTGAGACTTCTTGTGCTTTTTTAACTTCTTTACTATTTTGAGCTTTTTTTTTATGGGGACTTGTAGTCTGTTATCAGCACGAAGTTCGATTTAGTTGGAAATTTTTGTATGCAATTTATCTGAGAGGCTTTTTGGCAACCGTTTTGCAACAATGTTTTGTAAATAACTAATAGTTTGTGCCCCAAATCATAGCTGAAATCAGTGTATGATGGCTATATTTAACAAATATGACCCTTAGGTCATTTTTTCTTTTATTAGTCGGTTCTGGTTTAGATGCAGCTTTAAAAACAAAGCAAAAAAATATAAGTTTACATACCATCCTGAATATACGGTTCAATACGCGCATAAACATGCAAATTCAAGTAGTTTGAACTAGCACTAGTGGGTTTTAAAGTTGTAACATATAATTAAAACGATACAGTACAAGTTCATGGCTACGCTAGAGTCAGGGATAATGTGGCTATTCTGTACTTTATATCTGTTTCAGAGTGTTCAATGTTTGTTACAATGACCTTGAGCCAGTAGGCCGCAGATTAAGAAGGAACTCGCAAGATATGGAAAAGGCTTACAGGGATCGATATCACAATGGATACGGCTTCTAATACAGTTTATTATCAGTACTTCAAGTAATAAGTTTCCTTTATACGGACTTTTTTAGGAATATATGCTTTCTTTAAACATTGATGTAATACATTTTGTTGTGTTCACCATAGTATTGATATAAAATAAATAAGCTCTTTTTATCCTCGTGCTTCCTTGGAATTCATTATATCAAATAGCACATCAAAAATATTTAGAGTCTTATGTCCATAACTCCGTTAAACACATCAAACAATCCAAGTGTATTATCGAATTAGCTATAATTACAGTGCACTAATATACAATAGGCTATTACAAGTGAATCTTGCGGACTGTGAAACTAAACGACTTTTGAACTGCCCGCTACCTGTAGACAGAATATACTCCAGCGACCTTCGAACTTGTAAATATCAAGTTTTTGTTTATCGAACGCCGTAGAAACTTATGGAAAATGAGCCCTTAAGGGAAAGCACAGTACATCGGTACGTGAACGGAGCAAATATTTATAGAAAAAAAGATCAGAGTGTTGAAAACTATCGAGAAAGTGACCAAATATAGAGACCCGAAGGCCAAGAGCACTTTGCAGCAATAAAGGAGGCTCTTCATCAAAGCAAGTTTGGAGTCCTAAGGGCTATATCGGCCAGAACTGGCATTTTTCAGGTAACCTATTGCAGAATTGTAACTCAAAAACCGAAAATGTGGGAACTAAATAAAATTGATTCCAGACGGGGTGGAAATGAGTGTAATACACTCAACGTGCAATTTGCAAAATTTTAATCAACAAAAAAACCCGTCTGGAGCATAAGGTCGCCATGGACGATACGTGGTTTAGTCCCTACTGCTAGCCAAGTTGGGTCAAGCCAAAAGTACAGCGTTGTTCTGGAAAGAGATAAGTTCAATGCTAGTGTCGAGTGGATAGGTTCGGATGTAAAATGGTGATAGTCTTGCAACAGACATCGAAGGCACCTATACTATGAGATACCCTCCGAAATCGAAACAATCGGACCTTCATGAGGTTCATGAACCATTCGCACAGCAATTAGAAGCACGCAGTTTAGTTACTTGATGACAGCGCCAAATTTCAACGAATTTCAACGTTGTGTCTCAACTATTTTCTGGATTGAGAAAAAAGAATATCCGAAGTCCTTGTGACTTCGGAGTTTTCCAGCTCATTAAAAAACTTGTGGGTAAGCTATGGAGAAATCACATACGGAACAAATGGTACATGGCTATCTAGAAGTCGTCAGGGTGCTAGGGTATATATATATGTAAACGAGGAAGAGTATCTCTGACACGTATTTGAAAAAGCATCGTTATAGTCAAAGTAGTTCAAAAGATATATGATTTTAAAGCTTACTTACAACAGCTTAACAAATGTTTTATAGTTTTGCTATGCTGAATTAAGAACATTCGCCTATATTTTATTCAAACATTTATTACAGCGCTCTCAAGTATTTTAAGACCAAGCAAGCAATTGCACAATGTATGAGTAATAATAATAACGTTGGTGACCTTTAAATTTAATATACTACGAGAAGCATCCTGTTCTAAGTGACAAATAAACTGGCAAGTGTTATGCCGACGGAGCTATGTGCCAGCCAGGTATGTATTCCAATCGATGTTCGTCTTTGATTCCTTGACAGGCATAGGTCATCTTGAAAGGACCTGCATAGGTATGTTTCGTACAGCCAAGTTTGAAGCAATGCTAGGCACTGATTTGAACACCCATGTTCTAGCGGAGGAGATCCTAAAGTAGCGAACTTGCACGTTTGTTGCATTATGGAAAGAAGTTTAAGCAGCCCTATCAGCTCGAATACGCCGATTTCGCTAAATATATTTCTCTCGATAACTGACATTTTCTGCACTGTAAGTACCGCGGGATGAAGTACCGCACATATCTAGTTCTAGTTGACTATTTAAAATGATCGCTAAAACTTATTTCGTTAAATATATAAGCGCACATATTTAATATATTGAGAATTTTGTTTTATCTACTTAGTGTTATTTACTGGTATCGGATTAAAAACCCTATTTTCAGACTTGAGTATGGGCTTAGTACAAGCAATATCTCAGAAATCTCAGGAGCCGGAAGCTTTGGTCGAGGGTCTTTAGAAGAAAAACTAGCATAAAGAATTACGACAGCAAACACTGCGCATATTCTGCGACCTTCTACAAAAAATCTTTTTCTATAAAGATACAGCTTTCCACAAATGAATAATTACCCAAATCGGAGTGGCTGATGGAACATGGGTGGAGTGCCGTTTAGTTGAATATCGCAGTAACCTTGTTCCTGATAGAACAACACAAGTCTTAAGATTGGCTACACAACAAAATGGCACAACTTTGTTGTTACCTTTGGTAACACTGTTTAACAAATGGACTTTTTAACATCATTATATATTCTAGTAAATTTTCCATCGATACTGTTCATAATAATTAGGTCTTATAGTCAAAGTTCAAAAAACCCTTGGTATCTTCATTACTAAAATCGGTTGTTTCTTGAAGAACAGGAAAAGCGGCCAAAGTGGAACCACAGGGGTAAGCAGGTGTTCCCATAGCGGAGCGCATTACGGTAAAGGAAATCATTGCTCAAAATATTCGATTGCATACTTATATTTTGTGGTCAGTGTAGTTTTTGTATTTTACTCTCTGCCAGTCTTCGTCATTCGGTAATTGTTTTGCGTTGAGTCAATGTAATAATTTTACCAAGACCAATAATGGTAAAAGTAGCATTTAAGCCTTCATCAAGCCGCTTAGAATGAGAGGATCTTTCACATGTCATTTAAAGCACATGTTTGCACTAGCTATTTTTCATTGTTCTGACAGCCCCAGTACCATTCAAAAGGAGTTTGGCACTGATTTAATTTTACATATACAGAAATAGCATAGCGGCATTGAACAAATCAGACCTAAGTAGGCATATTAGTGATAGTAATGCTTAAACAATTACGTGGCGATATAAATTTTCTTCGCATGGATTCTGGCAGCGGTAACTAAGATCAAGATGCGGCATCAGGACGAAGAGCATATACTATGAAGCAGTTTACCATTGCGTAATTGTATATCTTGGTATCGCCCAGCCGGTTTTCGCCGGCAACCAATGTAATTGAGAAGAAGAACAATATATATATATATATATTAGCTCGTTCCTCTTTTACGATAGAACTCTTTCCTTTATCGGCAAAATCCAACGTGCAATTAGCTTACCAATTTCCTTAAAGACATTTCAAAATATTTTATAAGAGCAGTTATAGTTTTTTATAAGGTAGTTAGAGTTCTATACAGACGAAAGATATATATGAGTAAATTTAATTTTGCTTGTTGAACTATTCCACGGCACCAGGAAAAAATTATCTTTCTTGATGAACACCTAATGAGTACTTACTACAGCTTAGAATTAATTTTCGTTAATGTTTCGCATATCACAATGCGCATCACAACATGCAACTCAATTGTAGGTTACGTATAGTCTTACATAAAAAGAGAAGAAAATGTTTTAGGTATTTCGTTGTTCGACACTTCTGTCGGAAATCGACTTGATCCTTTTTTAAACGCTGTTTAAAATCTGTTTGCTTAAAACACCGTGAAGTTTCAACCCTTGGTAATTTTTTTTTAAATGACGCAACAATATCATAACATGTGACCTAAGTCTGAACCAATAGGACACTTTTTTACAACACAGGTTCCCTGTCTTAAAGGCCGCAACAAACTAAAATTATACTGAAACGTTATTTTTTGATAGACTAGGTTGGAAAATATGCATGGCCTTTCCTATCTCGTAATGTGTCTAAGATTCTGCATTTTAGAACTACAAGGCTCGAGACGATAGCGCATAGTTTGGGTAATAGTTTAATTAATTTCCCAAAAAGAATTGTATGAAGCAAATTCAACCATGTAAAAATTTCTCTTTATCGAAGAACCGAGAGAGTTACAAACTTTCAGTTCTTTATGACTATACCGTCTACCAAGCAATACAAATAACGAACTGTAAACGTTTAAACTACGAAAAGAGCTTTTTCATGTCAAATGTAGAAAACGAGTTGTATTTGTTTATTTTTATGATGGCTCATAACAGGATTCCCTTGGTCAAATATATCAAATGGAAAACGTCAATATATATTTGATTGAGCCATAGGAGTTGTCCAGTTTATTAAAACAAGAATATATTTACACAATCCAAGCGCAGAGCACTGAGTAGGTGTGGTGGCTGGGCCATTTCGTTTTTCAAACATCATCACTATTATTAAGTGGAATTAATAATACTATGCTATGTAGTCGTAATCCTTTTTCAGTTATGTTTATGGCCACCTGTGAACCTCGACTTTCTCTTACTGCTATTAGTGTTCCGTTATTTTTCTTAGTTTTTTATTTTTAACGCTCTTCTTTGTTTTTTTGTATGTTTTTCGGCTGTGTACAGGTGGAGTGCTCAACGCTCCATCATTTCTTTACAACATGGGTACTCTACAGGCAGCGACAAATTCATTTTTATATAAATTTGTCATACCATACTCGTAAACGCTCACGCTTCGCTCTTGTCACAAGTATTTATTATTTATATGCGCTTGTCTTGTCATATCTCTTTTTTTGTTTCAACATCACATCTTTATAATTATATTTGTCTCGAAGTAGTGAACTGTTATTGATCACACAGTTTTTTTTCTAGCAGCAGCAGAAAAATGAACTCTCAAAAAATTCTTTCGCGCTTCCTTTTGCACGAATTTTATGCACGTTCATGAAAGGAAAAATCCTACAACGACAACAACAATGGAAACATCCACTCAGATATACCCATTCGCTTTTCTTTAGCCTTCTGTTTTATAGCTTACTCACTTATGGTCAGCGTCTTGCTGGCATACCCGTCCTAATATTAAACATCTTGTTTACATACACCCATTTTAGCTCGGCATAACTTGAATTGATTCATGACACAAACTGATTAGAATTTAACATTTTTGAAGAGAAGTAACCTCGTCAATTAGGACAAAAGTCCGATTGTTTTTCTTTTACAAACGGGATGAATCAAATCGAGTCAATTGGTGATCATTCATACACTTTAAACAACAATTACGTGGCCGTATATATGTTATTAAATTTATTACTTCTGATAATCTTGTTAAGTGAAGTCTACAATATATATATATATATATATATATATATATATATATATATATTTTTTTTTTTTTATCGTCCAGCTAGCAAAACAATAGAACCATTTAAGTGCGGACAGGCTAACCTACAATATAGAATAAAACTAGCAACTATAGTAATATTAGCGTTATTCCATAGAGCAGAAGTAAACCGAATGCTGCACCCCCTTTTCCTCGTTTGGTCTTCTCACATGATTTTCCGCTAGTGATGACAGCCATTACAGCAGAATTGTATTCACCATTTTTCAGATTACATTCTTCGAAGGTCCAGTACAAACACCTGAATACAAATGATAAATCTAGTTAATATTGACCATTACTCATAATTGTATATGTTGCATCTTAGAATCAGATAGACCTTTCTAAAATGATTTTTGTCTATATCAGATTTCGCAAAATACAGTGGTACATGCTTAAAAGATAATTGAACTGACAGCTTTTACCGTGTCTGTCTTATATATAATTTCAGCCTGTGAGGATTTGATTCACGAACTCGAGAGCAATCGATACTTTTATTTCTGATACCTGAAGAAAGCAAGTGTTTGTTTTTTCCAGAAGAAAACTCTCCAAACTCATCATCACTAAAGCAAGACCCCTACGTTTGAAAGATTAGCTAAGATCAGTTAATCGCCGGCCGCACCACTCCCGAGATAACACGTTTGCTGGCTGCCAGAAATCAACGGCCTAGGCTATTGCCAATTTCCACGCAACTCTTGAAGAAAAGATATTCTCGTAAGGTAAGACGAAGGATCAACAGCCGGAATCAGATTTGAAGGGCCATTTTCAATCTTGATAAACTTTTGACGACGAATGCAGAAATAAGCAATCATTTTGGAAAAATTTGTCAATTAGGCCATTCAAAAAAATTTCAATGGTTAGTCTTTTTTTGAAGACTCAGTATAGCATATCAATACCGCATTACCCAGAACTAGAACAAACGTAGAAAAGGGGTTTTCGGGAACGATTTGGTAGTATTTGAATCAGATTCATGACTGTAACGAATTGCATTTGTATAGATAAGAAGCGTGTTAGGTAAGGATGTTCCTATCGGTACATGAAAATGAATCGTTTATTAAAAAAATTTGCCTTCATTTAGATGCTGTTTATAAATATATATGTAAATTTTATATTCTTTACTTCGGGCACTCTAAGTATACAATATACCTTATATCTGATGCTGATTAAACTTACAGTAAGTAGATTTTGGGTTGTTCCTAATTTTTTATAATATTTATGTAAGACCTAAAACCCTTTCTTTGCAGGGTTTGCGCTCACAAGCACTTTTTTGTTTATCTTTTGCGTTACAAGTCTATACTAACTGGGTACTCCAGTCACGCAGAAAAATATTTAAACATATCAACAAAAAATGCAGGTATTGATCTTTAAAAGTGTACGTAAAACAATAGTCGGGATACTAGCGTGAGAGGTTAAACACTAATTCAAAACATAATTATCCTAATATATAACATAATATTTATATATAAGTATGTATTCCAACAGTTTTTTTTTCTAAATTAGTGTGTTTGTCCGTAAGCTATGTAGGCATTAAGAATTAACTGCTGGTAAAAATATCTTACTGATCCGTCTGATGCAGAAGCTCCGACTTTGTCACCCTTTGCATTCCAACACACTTCAAAGATACCTCCGGTTCCTTTATACGAATGCATCAGTTGACCTGTCGTCGTGTTCCATATGTGAACACACTTATCAAATGAGCCGCTCGCTAAATAACGGCCGTCAGGAGAGAACGCTACCGAGTACACCGGTTCTGAATGCTTTGTTAGAGTGTATAAACATTGACCCAACTCCACTTCCCACAGCCGAACCTGTAAATAGCATAATATAAAACACGTCGGTATTGTTATGAGATCTTGCACAAGAGATAAATTATTAGCTTGAGTGCTGTTTATGCAATATGGAATAACCGCGTAAGATACAGATATTCCATGGCATTTGAATTTATGGTTGACAAAAAAAAACACCTTTATTCAAAAATAGATATTTTTTTACCGTTGAATCGAACGATGCTGATGCAAGCACTAAGTTGATATTGGGGTTCGCCGTTTGTGGACCGGTAGGACTCCACTTGATCGTGTATATTTCCTTATGATGCGCCTGAAGATCATGCACGAGGCCTCCATGAGGAGATTCCCTGGGTGTCCATATCTTTAGCGTCATATCATCTGAGCAGGATGCGAGCAGCACACCTTGAGGGTCCCATTTAATAGCATTTACCTCGTTTGTATGACCCATAAAGGTTTTTATTGGTTTATCCACTCCTAACTTGCACACATGAATGCACTGATCCGTTGAACAAGAAGCAAAACTAACATTGCTTTGCCAGTCGACGTCAAGAGCAGGCGCCGTGTGAAATGCAAACTGTTGCGTGCAATTACCCGTGGAAGCGTCCCAGATAATTGTCGTCTTATCTACACCAGCTGATAGGATATAATTTCCTTTTTTATTCCATTTTAGCGCAAATATTGGCCCCTTGTGCTGACCAAGAGTACTGGCCAGACGTCCTTCCGTTGTCCAAATGCGGGCGAACCCATCGTACGAACCCGTAGCTAATAGAGTACCTTCCGAGTTCCAATCCAGTGAGGTGACATCCTTATTACTTGGAACCTCCGCTCCCCCGCGCTGGATGCAGTGGCGTAAAACCAGTTGCTGGTTAGGTCCCGTAGCAGAAGTAGGTTGACTTTCGTTAAGATTCCAGATCCTGGCAGTTGAGTCGCCACTTCCAGAGGCCAAAAGGTCCGAGGTGGGATTCCATGCGCATATGAAGACTTCGCTCTCGTGCCCCCTAAGAATCGTTGCTCGCGATGAGGGTATGTCGATAGAGCCGATACCTAACAGTCCAGCACCCGCAGGTAATCCGCCAGCAGGCTGTTCAGCTGCCACTGGTGGATCTGCAGCACCACCGGGTACAGCAGCAGGAGGCGTAGGATTGCTAGCACTGTTAGCTGCGTTGCCTGCGATAATCGCTGTATTTCCTGATGATGCATTCAGTTGCTTGACGCTGCTGTTACTATCTTCATTATTGTTGCTCGCGGCCGTTGTTGGTGTCCTAGTTGAGGTATCCATAGGAGTAGCCACAGTTGGAGTGACGGAAGATGTCGTCGGAGTTTCTACAGAATGGTTGGCTGAAACGTTACAGATCAAAGCACAAAATAATTGCATTACAGCACAAGTAATATTATAGGATTTGCCGATTAAGCAACCACCTAATTATATTGGTAACTAAATCAGCGAAGTTAAACATTTAGACTGTATTCATTCGAACTTACCCTAAACAAAATAAACCCAAGCGTTGTACAAGATTTGCATTTAACAAGAACTTTAGGATAGAAATTTTAGGAAAGAGTTTCGAACACGACACGAAGTAATTTTACCGAGACTAAGCATTACAAAAAGTAAACTTTGAGATGTATTGAAGGTGAAATAAAACATTTTGGTTCAATAAGCAACAATCAGCTGACCACTTATTACGCTATCACAGATATTTGCGACGTGCCGATACAGCAGTTTATATATACTTAGCTTATGTAGACTCCTATGTTTGTAAAGCCAAAGATGACACTTAAATACAAAAAGTCATTTCTACTACATTACTACAAAACGTAAAAACAAGAATTAGTGGGGAGAGTGCGATTGATTGCATACCTTTAACGTCTCCATTGGTGGCGTTAGCAGCTGGTGCGGTACCGTTATTGTCACCATTATGTGGTGTGTTACTGTTGCCTCGATTATTACTCGCTGCGGGCGTAGCGTTGGCCGCTTGGTCCTGTTTGGCTTTTTGGTGAGCCGCCTGTTGTCGTGCAGCAACAACGTCTGGCATAACAGCGTCGATAAGCGATAAAGACTCGATCATCCGTTCGGAGCCATCTTCTCCGATAGAGATTTCAGCTTCCGTATATTGTAGGCCCTTTTGAATGATCGACAACAGAGCTGCTGGTGGCACAAGAGCTCCATTTATGTTTGATTGGGAAATATGCGACTCTATACCTGATTAGCAGAACCAATAATAAAATGAATCGCCGTATAATTTACTTACTGTTTAACCGAGTCAAAAGCGGCTCTTAGGATACATATATAGGTGGTTATGATTGTATAGCAGATACCTGTATTCGACATTGCTTATGCGACCTTGATCGTAGAAGACAAAAATAAGCTTCTATGTCAAATTGTTAACAACTTTCAGCTTCTATTGCTCCTGCTAAAAGTCCACTAAACATCAATTCCAAGAGCGAACAAATTAAATGAATCATACCTTTGGTACATGCACAACCATATGTAGATAAAGCGCGTTGTCCTCCGTCTTCATTCTAACAATCACTAAATATATTACTCTAATACCAGATATGTAGAAGTGTCAAAGATAAATGGCCTAGCATTTAGCAAATTTAAGTATAGTATTCATGAATATTCATAAATGAAAATTTATACAAAATAATCTTAAAAAAAATATTTTTTTACCATAAAGTTTTAATTTTAATGAATTTTAAAAATTTGATAATTAAATGAATATGTTTGCATAAAATATTATAGGATAACAAATAATCGCATATTTTAAATATTGTTAAATCTTTTTTCAAAGTAAATTGTTACTTAATTAAAACATATATCCTTTTTGCCTTTATTATCCTGCCGAAAATGTGAAATTTCTATCTATGACAATATCAACATGAAATTCTACTGAGTTGTTTGATTAAATTAGTTGATTAAAACTAATGCCAACAGCTATTTGCAGGAAATAATTTCATTGTACTGATGCATTTTGAGTTAAGTCAGTTATATTAACGGTACATAGCCATAAATAATAATAACCACAAGCAGAATTTTATTTATTCCAGATTAAACATAATCTAGTAAATTATGTTGTACCCATATATATTTATACCGTGCGAGTGCTAAACGTTCTCATTAATTGCTGACTCTCAATAGTAGCGATTCACCTAAGGGAACCTGTGTTCTTCCCAGCACTATTGCTATTTAGATCATTATTATAATTCGGCGGTAAACGTCTGATGCTTTTCTAAAACTAATCGCTGCGAAGGATACCTATACTAGATTCGCGCATGGGCTTTATCCCGTGCTCATTATACTCGCCTGTCTGCTTAAAGGCGTACGATAAACTATAGGATACAAAACCAATTTTATTTTATTTTAGCTTGCTTTTTGCGACAATAAACGATACGAGGACTGCAGATAATCAGGTTCGCATAGGCACATTGAGTCCTAGTATGTACGCTTTTAAAGCGCTAGATCAATCTTTAAAAATATGAGAGAGCTTAGTAAACGAAGCGCTTTTTTCTTAAGTAGACCACGTAAAGCCGATATTCATCTTGCCACTCCATGGTTGTAAACTATGAAAGTGACTCCTTGGTTTTGATAAATATTACGAATGGATACATATGACCCGAGGAACACTACTGCCTCGACTGCGGCACGTTTTGCTATGTTTAAGAATAAAGGTATGTACAAAGGAAGACTCTACGTTTTCGTTTGATACCTATTTTAAGTCAGTTGATCATACGTAAATGGTGGCAGGAGGTCCACAAATCGCATCTGCTTTTTAACATTAATATGAAATATTTAAAAAAATATTTTTTTTTTTAATATTTCATATTAATGTTAATATATAAGTACAATTTACATAATATATATGTAAGTATATATATATGTATAATATATATATATATATACATATATATATATGTATAATATATATTACATAAGTGATAAATGTAAAGGTTGCTTATTGAGTTTTAATGAAGTGCCCATTTGGGCTAGCAAAACATACAGATTTTCTCGAGTACAGTAACGCGCTGCAAGTTCTAGAGTTTAAAAAAATAAACGGTCCTTGCGCTTATATGTCAGATGTTATAATCGCAAGTATCCTGAATTGCGACCGTTAGTCATAACACAAATCACAGACTAGTGAAAAATAGAGTAATATTTTATAGGTCCCTCAGATCTTCTAATGTACCCTAATAAAACGCAAATTTTTGGGAATATCAGTGATCTCATCGTATGCCTATATGATGGAGCAGTTCACTTAATATGCGGCGCTATGGACTGCGATGCACTTGCCGCAAAATAAACGTATAGTAAACTAGACTTTTCTCTGAAGACGGTTGTTAAATGTAAAGAGCTAGGTAGGTATTGTTATCAACGAATTCAGACGGAGCTGATCATATGTGGAAAGTTTAGTTCTAACGCTGGTTCCTAAAACGGGAAGCAACGTGTCCTCTCCATTGATGGAACCACCCTCGTACAAGAAGGCATGTTTAATTCGAAACAATGTGCCTTATCGAAAACCCAGACCCGACTGTTCAAAAAGCCGTGAGCTGGGATAGTGAGCAATCTCTCATGGCAACGTTTTAGATAAAGTTGAAAGACGAAGAGAAGGAATAGAATCAGAAACGTATTTCGCCTCTGTGGAATGTTTCGCTAGAATTGCTGAGTGTAGTTCACCAAGATAATAAAGATTACAATATTATGGGGCGCCAATAACCGACCATACAGCACGGGGCTTCTTGGACATAAGACTTGACGGATCAACCAAAATAAACCCGTTTGGTATATTTGAAAAAACGTTGTCTTATTTCCCGTTATTATCGAACGTGTGGCGGTTCCAAATATTTGTGACAACATTACAATATCATCTGAAGGACCATTTAATTTTCGATTTTTTAAAAGATTCTAGGGTTTCGAGTTACTATCAAGCAAAAGGTACGTCACGCTTCGTTTATTATGCTAAAAAGCGGATGTGATTAATGTAATTCTTGTAATATTGGACTTTATACTACCATTGACGTCATTAGACTTTAAATGAGTATCAAAACAAAATCGCAGAGTTGTCTTTACTCCACACATAGCGTACGTACCTACGTAGAAGCGTATATACCTGTCAAAAATCAAAAAGCCGAGCAATATGTACTGATATCGGCACCTGCTGGAAAAATACTTCATTGGGTTCTGCTAGCTGGTCACGGGTCGATCTGGGTTTTCCAAGCAACATGGATATTTAAATAAATCGGATGACTTTCTTTATGAACGTTATTATGTAAGAGTGCCATTGACAACAGAGTAATACAAAGCCGTAATTCGATGTTTATAACGGTTTATGATAGTCTAATATGTTGACGAGTAACCACAGAGAGGTGAAATGTTTCTTGTACTTTAAGTCTTACTTTGCTCTCGCAAGGCATACACCAGGAGATAATTTATATTCAAATTCACGTACACGCTTTTGCAGACCTATTAAACAGCTTAGTTCCGGACGTTTTAAAGTGTTCTTGCAATTTAGCAACTCAGTCAAGACCACTTTGTTAGAAAATGCATATTGGTTATTAGTAACACCAGACTAATGAAAAAGAGTTACTGCTTCTACGATGAGGATTGTTGAATCAGAAAAGAATCATTCATCCAATAGACAGAACTCGCATTTAATGAACAGTTGTTCCTAAATACGTAGGTTCTAAAAGAATATCTCTCTAGCTTATTTTTCGAAATGCAAAAAGGGACAAATCCAGCAGTCGTAAACTTTTGATATAGAATGAACTTAAGATACAAAAGATTGGTGGCCGCACTCAAACAAATATTTTATTACTTCTGTTTATTACAGATAGGAGCAATAACAACAACAGGCTTGGCGACATTAAGTGGTTGCTTGAGTCGCACGAGAAAATCATATTCCGGCAGGCACCTGTGGCATGAGGCGTAGCAAATGTACACAGAACGTAACACAGAATCATGTGTGAAGGGCTGTTCAAATTTACCGTCGAGTACACTTCACCGATTTCTTCAATATATCATCAGTCCAGCATAAGTTTGTTATCACGTTGAAACTTAGGTTGGCAAAACGAACTTCGCCGAGCTCTACCTAAGCATAGCCCACGAGGACTGTTCTTCGTGAAATCAAAATCTTGATCAGGTCCGGTAGTGCTGTAGTCAGATCATGAGAACAATAATCACTATTTTTCAAGATTACAACGCATAATGCACTCACCGAATGTGTATGCCGAGTGAAAGAAGCCGGACTCCTGTAGATAACGATAAACGAGAAAGTTCACTTCGTCGCTGGAAAAACTCATTGTCACAGTCGTTTTAACTAGCGGTAAGATTACGATCGGTACCCGCTGAGCTATCCCTATATTCTGCCAGTTCTTTTTACTACTAATCTTCTTTGGTTAATGTTGGGGGTACAGAGATGATAGGCCAACGAATGGCTGAGTGGCAAAGGTACACCGGTAGTTAACCGGTGGATACCTGCTACCGCCAAGCTTCTCCTCTGTGGCTGCTTAGAAAACTGGTGTTGGCGCCGCGGGACGGACAGGGGCCGCGTGCCTACACCTCAACTTGAAACTTCGGCTGTTGGCAGCACGAACACACGTCGAAAGGAGGGATAGAGTTGCGTTTCATACCTCTCGTACCTGAGCCATTCTTTCTGATTACGACACTCAACGTGCCTTAACAATCGACCACTTGCCGCACTCAGGATATTCATTAAGCCGCTCACCAAATTCAATCTCCAAAGGTTTGTTGTGATGCGACGTTAAACACTGAACGAGGTCACTGATGACATTGATTCGTATCGGGCACAGCATTTAATGCCACTATGTTACTGTTAGGGCGATCAGTCGGCATCCCTCTTGTTTTCCTTACTCAGAGGGAAATTTCAAAACCCTCCGCCGCTCTATTATAAAACGGACTGCGCGAATAGGTGGAAATTAAGTTATAGATGATTATGGTGAGCACTGAAACGCTTAATTTTAATGGCGAAGATAGTAATACAAGAAACAATAACTTAGCTTAAATAAAAGCGCTAAGAGAAAAAAGATTAATTTTAACAGTGGAATTCCACTTAGAGGCACTATTCTCACTTTTGCATTAAGCACATATCATATCATTCTACCTATTATATTTATACAGTGACATGATACAAGGGATGGGCTAATATACGTTGATGGTTCGACTATCTCTTCTGCATTTGAATTTTATGCTTTCTCTTATTGTTCTACGTGGTTATTTTCAATAATGTAAGTGAAGTTGTGTCAAATGTCTGTATTTAACTACCTTTGTGATCGAAGTTGCAGCATAAACTGAAACCTGAGACGCACTCTTTCACAGCAAAGTACTTAAATTGGTAACGGTTTACTATGTACCGTATTCTCCTATTCACATTGTAATCTTTGTACGTTTATCTACGTAGATCAATTGTGGATTATTTAATGTATGCGCGACTCTAAAGTTATGTCCGCGATGGCTCCTCCTATTTGCTGCTGTTACTAGTAACCCTGTCGTAAAAATGTGGGACATAATGCACAACTTTTATAAATACCATCAACTTAAGTATTTCATTCATGAAGTTTCAGGCAATTTTACTGAAGAAATATTCTTATTAAAAAAAATTGCTTTACTACCGTTTCTGACATGCATTCACTGAGTGATATCCTTATCCATTAATTCAATTTAGATAAATATTTGTACGTGTTAAAAATGAGTACTGAATAAACTATAATAACGATAACTGATAATTATCTACTTATGTACGTTACTTCTTCATTGCTATTTGAATACCTTACCTAAACTTTAGCTTAGATTAGAGAAGTTCAGGTGGTCGTGCTTATTCAATGCAAACGAAGTTACGATTGTCAATAAATAATAATAATATTTACGATCATTATTCATAAATTCTAATGAACAGTACGGTTCAAGTGTTCAGTAATGGGGCACCAATCTGCTCATACTCAAAAATTAATATCGAATGCTGAAAATCATCCATCACAAATTTTTACTTAAAAATATCGCAAAGCAAAGTGGAAACTAAGAATAAAGCTAAATTGGATTCAATATAGGATGAAGATATGTGTTAATTTAAGGCGGCGTAAATACAAAAAGGATGAAACTTTTAAATAATTGGCTAGTTCGCTTATAATTGATTTGTAAATCTGTTCATTCTAAATTGATCATAACTAGCATTGTTCTTTTATGAGTCGCCATCCAAAGGTGCTAAGTGTCCAATTGGAGTACTGTCAGTTTTTTAGACGAACATCGAGAGGCATTTGAATATTTTTCTTTGCATTATCAGTAATTTACTTGCTTGCAACGTTGGCTCTTAGCGTTTACTGGTTTCCAATTTGAACTATCATAAAGCGCCTTACGTGCAAAGTAAAAGCACGTAATTATAATTCGACTTCTTATTTCCTTGGAGACCCAGCATATATGTGTGCGTACATTCTGTTGTTCGAGTCGTGGCGAGGAACAGAGGGAGAAGTATCAAAAAATGAAGTATCTCTGAAAGCAAATTCCCTAACGACAAAACTTATAAACAAAGGGTAGGCGAAAGTTTCATCTGAGAAATAAGAATCGAACAAGGAGAAGGCTAAAAAAGCCTGCTTCTAGTCAGAGTTAAATGCCGAACCAATTGCCTATCTTCCAGCTCATTCAGGAGTTTAAGTATTACACCAAGCTCAAATACTCTATTTGATTGCCTTGGTAAGATTAGACTGTGCGATCGAAATTAATAATCGTAGATGGTCTGGCTCGAAAATAAAATCGGTACCTTCGGTTGTCTTCTATTGCTTCAGGTGTTAAAAGTTAGCGGAGTTTGTTCCATGGCGTGACGGTTTTGCAAGCCATCAGAGCCTCTGCTAGAGAAACTACAACGGTGAACGGGATCATTAGCATTTGGAACGTTCCCGTATACAATTTGAGCGAAGCGTCTGTACTTGTTAAGTATTCCTTTCTAGCTTTCCAGATGAACAGATCTTTACAGTTTGTTTTTTTGTTCATATTTAAGCTAACGCCATTTAGACACAAGCCAAACGAAACCTTAAAGAAAGAGAATCCGCAACAATCCGTTCAATAGTCCTGATCAAATCTAATGTGTCCCACCAAGAGCTCTATATATACTCTTTTTTTGCCAGCTTTATTCAGAGCGCTCTATGTATCAAAATATCATTATCAACGACCATCATCGATGCCATAGCAAGATTTATAACGGGATTATACTGCCATAGCCTCTCGTTGTCCAGAACTGTTTCTGATCATGGTGAAGTGCCAAGCCGCTCCTCTTCTCATTCTCTTCACTGAGAGGTTGAAGACAAACCTGCCGAAATGAAGGTGAAGCCATATTATATTTGCCCGTACGACAGGCGGCATATTGGTAAAAGCGGCTGTTAGAACTCACGACCCGCAAGTGTAGAGGCGCCGCTATTTACAGTTCAGTGGAATAGTATGAGGTACTTTCAACTTAAGAAAGAAAAGTGCGTGACATGAAGCACGGTTCTAGTAAAAACCATAGAATTTAGACAACAAAGTCTTGGAATTTTATATCAATAATACGTCCAATACGTGTTAGATAAGGAGAAACATATGTCTGCTGGAAACGTTCTGAAAACACCAAACCTTTCATGGATAACTGACCACCTACATTTTTTAGTCTTTATATGTTCGCGACATCATTTCGAAGCTTGATCGTTTAAAATGACGCCGAAGCGGTTGAAGGTTCATCTAAATGAGTGGATACTCCTTTTCCGGAAAGCTTCAATTGACTATCTGGCATAGATTTGATTGCCTTCTAGAGTGAGGGTTGATCTTTACCATATACATAATACTGCTCAGGGAACTAAATTAACGAAGTTAATTTATTAGAGTTTAGCCTGCACTGTATGTTCAGTATAATAGAGTCTCATATAAATAGCTTGTGTACCTGAAAATAACGAATCTCGTATGAATCTTGAATAAAATTCATAAATTCATAAAATCATTAAGAAAATACTTCATACAAATATGAAGTATTTTTTCAATGTGACTTCATGAGGTAATCAAATGTCAAAGTAGTATTTAGTTTAGTACAGAATGGTAGAATCATATATAATCTCTGCAAAGACAGAAATTCCGATCGATGATCTTGAAACTGCATCTGTGGCGTTATATAGTACAGCTAATTTAAAAGGTTAGTAACGGAACAGATTAAGTTCCTCGGTGAATAAATAAGCTTTGGTCATAAAGGACACGATTTGATTTGTAAATTCTATTATTCATTATTTTGTAGGAAGCCTTTTTTTGTTATTAGTGAGTACTGTGTAAATGTAGCGGATAACGGTAAGAAGTTGACACAATACAGGAACTAGATCGTACTAAGCATTTGCTTGAATTGATGACGTTTAAGCGTTCGTAATTGTAATGACTTGCTCGCTATTACATTTACTTTAATTACTGCATCTACTGTAATTTGTGCTGGAATAACAGAATTGAAATGAGGAACATTGCAATACGACTGAAAGTTCTAGTAGTCAATTCAGTATTAGGATATATTATGGAGATCTTTACTACGTAGATGCTTTATACTTTTTCATGCCTTTCAAAGGTTTTGCTTTGACTAAATTTGAAAAGGCATTCATCGTAAGTTAATATTAGATACAAATTACTGATATCTGCGAGATAGTAGCTTGTTGTCCTACTTTGTCATGAAATTCCCTCTGCCTTTTGCTTTTGGACAACGCGATGTATCATTATAGTGACTAGCAACATTTTGAACCGATCAACACCTCTTGTCTAGGCCGTTACGTCATTGACCACACTGAGGGCTATGAAAGTGCCTCAGTGCTTGTATGTTGCGCTAGACTGTGAGAATGATAAAGATATCTGATACAGTTACCGCCGTATATTTGTCTCTCAGTAACAACTCCCTCTCTGCCTTCTGTCGTTCGATCTAGTGATACAGCTTTTGCAAAAGGGTCCACTTCTGATCGAATAATATATACGATAAATCCTTCACAAGTGATTCGCCTTAGCTTAGCAACCTACACACTTATCATCAGACACTCATAACTATTGATAGATGCTCGCCGAATCGATGAAAGGAGGATGGCCGATTCCTAAAGTCTGAATTAAAAATGTTCTAAGGCTACTGAGTCTCAAACAAGCTTATTGCATTGAATTTCACTGCGCCATTTATATACCGAACCCTTACTTTTATTCGCCGTTTTATAATTATTTTAAACCAACCATTAGAGGCAGATCAATGGAAGTGTGTGGTAAGGCGCAACCTAGTATTATTGGAATTGACTTGCACGAAAAGTCTGGTCTAAGGAACTTACATGAAGTTAAATTCAAGATAACATACAGATAAATAAAACATGTAAGATATATTTTTTATGATAGTAACTATCTAGGTACTTGAGTTGAGGTTCCATTTAGACCTCCGCAGCATGAGGCCACCACGGTATTCAATATATAATGTCCAGTATGTAAACACATGTGAAACGTGCAATGTCCAAGTTTTGCAATTTATTACTCTTCTGTTCCTACATAACTAAACATGTCAGGAAAATGTGTCTAAAACAAGTCCGACAAGCTGAAAATATATCTACAGTTAGGTTAATATTAAGTGCTTTCATCTTTTTAACTTGATAAACTTTCTTTCGTAATGCCCAGCCTCTTGCATACGTTTTTTAATTAATTCTCTTAAACTTTCTTTGTAGTATTATCTCAACTTATTTCTCGCAAATTTTTAATTTAAATATTAGGCATTATTTATGCGCCAAATAACTATGCTGCAGTGATTTCCAAGAAACCTATAAACAACAGATAAAAAAAATGTAACGTA